GGAACTAAAACTTAACTTGAAGCCCGTAGATTAACAGCAGCATAAGGCCTTACAGATGCTGGAAGTTTCTCCAGTTTGCGACGTACTTAAATACCATATGGAGGTTGGAATTGAAAAAAAACAACCGTGTCAACATGGCAAGTATGCTCCATTTCTAATTGCGCTAGAGTGTCGATTCGTCAGATCAAAAACCTGTGCTTTTTTTCAACAAGCTTGTCGTCAACTCCTACTATATGGACTCTCGCAAAGTGGATTTTTAAATGCGAATCCGGAAATACTAACAGGGCTACAAACCGTGACCAAGTGATTAAATTCGATTGGCTGTCTACAATTAGGGCTTCAGAAATGTTTTCTAGTTTGAATGCTTGACTAGAAAGTTAGCTGGTTTTAGAATTACATGGTGTAAAGTACAACCTGCTAATTATCCGAACGTTAAGTACCTCAGAGAAATAATTGGTGTTCTAGAAATTGATTTCCATTTGGCAACGTTTTCTGAACCACTCAAGAAATAGAGAAATTTTAATGCAGAAACACGTACACGGGTGCAGCACTTAATTATAACTGCACTTTTAATCAGTCATCATGCACCATCATACCACCTGCTAGCATTGATGCAAGAGGGTGTGCAACACAGGCCAACTCACAAATGCTTAGTAGAGGGGTCATTGGCTAAAAGAAGTGCTAATCCTAGAGTTACGTCATCGGTTGTACTGCAAGTTGGGTCATTTCCCATGAATCAGTAAAATGCTCACACGGCACGCAAGTTCCATTAACAGTGGCCACAAAAATGATATTAACCAAATGGGGGAGTAATTGAAAAATCCGTTAACCTTAAAGAGTTGGAATTCAAAGACGACGATTAGGCTCACGACTAAAGAGGACATCGAAGAAGTGGGAAATGAAGATTGAATTCCCAACCAACTTCAACAAAAACATCCACAGTTAACACATTAATATGAAAATAGTAATTTTTTAGTAAAAACATATCCTTAATTACTCCAATGTAATACCAAAATTCACAGAACTACACCTACGATGGGAGAAACATGCCCTTACAGTGTTGCAACGCGTGGATGCGCAGCCATCAGTCCACTCTGGCCTCAGCCAATCATCTGTCTGTACGTTCCAGGGGCATGCGACGAATGTAAGCAGCCAACCAGAGACAAACACGTTTGGAAGTAGTGTATAATGAGCGGTGTTGTCAGCGTCGTGGACTCCGTTGGACGATGCTTGATGTGTGGTTCTGGCTTGTGATTCGTCAATAATGCCCTATCTGTTGCCCGGGATTAGGACCGCTGCATCTGAAGAGGAATCGGCAAGTCAGCGACGACGATTAGGGCAGTCGGAGCTATTTGTACAGTACGAGGAGAAGGGAGATGCGATGGATGAAGCGGCCTTCCTTCAGGTCAACAAGAACAAATTCCCTCGTTTAGTATTTACTTGGGCTACTATCCTGCCAGATGTGGGGTACTGGGAAGGGTCTAAGTGGACATTTTGTCAATCATTATCAGTGCGGAGAAACAGGCCAAAAGCTGATGACAGCTGTGTAGCGACGCATTGGACCACAGTGGCCTCAGCCAGTTACCTGTCTCTGGGTTCCAAGGACATTCGAGGAAGATTTGCAGCCAACCAGAAACAGACACGCATGAGAGGCGGCAGGTAATGATAGGTACAGCCAACGTGGAGGACTCGGACGAACGAAGCATGACGTGTGGCTGCGGCTTGCCATTGGTCAATAGAGAGTGTTCTGTTGTACCAGTCTGCTTCATGCTTAGACTAGGGTATTCTACAGTTGTTGCTTCTCTTGTCTCTATTCTCGGCCTACTTTAGGCTAAGAGAATTTTGGCTAAGAGAGATAGCCCGCTCAAATGTAAGGTGAGGTGAGGAATGTACTGGGCGACTTGGTGATAAATATGGAATCACATTAGAAGGAAAAGCCCTGGGGTTCTATTCGCATCATTCGAAACGTCCGTCAACACCACAGTAGAATACCAGAGGCCTAGTTCGAAGAAGACAGGTAAATCAGAACAGGCTCATTATGTGCTGTTTCCTATACGTGTTTGTCTCTGGTTGGCAGCATATCTTTCTCGCATGCCATCGGAATGCAAAGAGACAGAGGATTGTAAGTCTCTGCAAGACAAACACGACTGTTTATCAGCGACGCAGAGAAGCGCAAGCACGTTCAAACCACGCTGGCCTCAGAAAATCCTTTGTCTCCGGCCTGTGATTGGGAAATAAAGCCCATTCGGTTTTATAGTCGACTATAGTTGTTTTAAAAATCTAAACGTTCAGCATTTGATTCTCCTTAATTTAATTTTGTAGGCGCAAAAAGTTTCGAGTCTTTCAAATCCTTAGTATTAATTAAACAACTTGGCTCATCTGGCAACTATTTCTTGTGATTGCACGTCTCATCAAATGCTTTCCATGAATTCATACATTTTTTTAAATATCCGAACTTCTTTTATGCCCTAATATTTCGAATCGACTTTTTTTATTTGATGGTTCTTAATCGGAATTAAGCCATGGAAAATTAGCAATATAATGATCCATATCCATTGTATCATTTAAGGAGAGAATCATTAGTTCTGCAGCAAAATGCTAAACTTTTCTTAGAAAAACAGCGAATGTGTCACAAATAAGCTTTCATTCCTCAAAACTTTATGCATTATAACATTCCACGTATTTTTTATTGTGTGCACACGACTACTTGAGCAAAATATTTGCACACACAGACATATGAGCCTACATAGCTCATTCATTCTTTGAATGAAAAGCAAGAGAAAAATTGAGAACATTGTGGCGAATCTGACCAGAAATAATGTGTTGCACAACATATAAATCTTGAAATCATCCTAGTTTTGGACACTTCACAAAGACTCCAGTCCACATTAGAAGACCTCATTGCTCATTTCCGTGCATTGCAAAAAGCCAAGTCAAAGCTTGTCCAACACCAGATTAAAATTACGGTTACACAGTTGAAGCAAAATCAGCCTGGTGACTCGAAGTGAGGTAGAATTGGATTTTGTGATAGATTACGATGTGCGGGTAACGCACTGGATGCAAGAACAGCTGTTGAAAGGAACAGGTGAGACTTTTGTCCGTTATTGGACTCGAGTTTACAGAATACAGGATCTGCAATGCCATCTACTGCTTACAAAGCGGTGAACTCATGAGGGACTCAAAGGGATTTAATAAACAAGATTTCCTTGATAAACAACCAGTAAATGGCAGATGTAATTCAAGAGAGGATTGAAATGCCTTAAAAATAGTGCATTGGCCAGATAATTTCTGTCTTGAAGAAGTCGATTTGAAGCTCTTCCAGATCGCAAATCTCGTGTCATGCAGCGTTGTGCATGCCTTACTAACTATCTCCAATGATCAGGTAAATTAGTAAAAATATGCTCGCCTGTGATGAGTGTCACAAAAGGAGAAGCGTCGCTAAAGCCCCAAGTGGGAGCACTGTAAACTGTTGTGATCCCGCGCATCACATTAGTCTTCATTCGACAAATCCAAACAAAGTAGGGATAGTCCTCGTCTATCAGAAAAATTCCGTGCTCACTCTCTAAACGAGCAACACCTATCAGGATCCAATCTAAAAGCAACTCGTTTACACGCATGCTGCTAATAATTTAGAACGAAAAACCGCAGTTTCTGCTGCTATTGAGTCGGTGTTTTACCAACTACTTGGGTCAGATACAGACTGGGACTAGCAGAACGCTTTGCAAATGTCAAAAGGTTTTGACGAGCCAGAACATTTGTTTGAAACCATCTCTTCTTGAATTATCATTGCCTGAGCTCCTTATCGCAGAATAGCTGTCAATGTAAGTTTAAGAAATGAAACTGAGACAAAAAGGGCCCAAACTTAAGAAAGTGGAAAATTAGTAACGCCACAGGAAGAGAAATCATCCTTGAAGCCAAATATTTGCCGGTTCCTTTTCCAAAACAAACCGTGAAACTACGACTGTGTGTAGGTTGGGATGGAAATACTGATAAATCTTGTTTCAGTGTGCAATTCACAGCAATGTGCTTAACTAGAAGTAACCTTCTTTTGCGCATTCCTTGACTTTTCGATCCTGTGATTTACTCACCTCAGATGATGAGTCTTGTGTGGACAGTCTTGTAGACCTCATATCGACGCATGTCAAAGTAGTACAGAAAGATTCTAAATGAGGAGCCTACTTTGTGGACCAAATGGTTGAACACACTACCGTAGCTTGAAAATTTTGCCATCCATCGATGAAGTTAATAGAATCTCCTGCCTTTCATTTGCCCTGTATTTATTGACGCCGTAAATTTGAGATTCCGCAGTCCATTTGGTTGTAGAAAGTACAGGAACAGCCTCGAGACCCTGATTAGCGTTTTTCATTTCACGTTTAGAGTTGGTGACCGCAGTAGAAACAGTGAAATAGCCGGCTCATTTCTCCATCGTGCCTCACAACATCGGTAACTAATGAAAGCGTCTTCCCACCTTCGTTTCCAATCGATTGTTAATGATGCATGCATTGCCGATGGCGAACAAATAGCACTGAATTTACTCGAATCTAAACCCAGCTTAGTTATAAACTAGTGGGAGTTCGAACAATAAAATTCGAACTTGCGACGTTGGATGGATAATCCTGAGTACTTAATCGTTCGAATCAACGAAGATATTGAAACAACCGACAGAACATGGATCAAAGCATATGTTTTTTTCTTTAAAACAAAGCAGTCTCGACTCATTCATTTCACAAGCATTATTGTCGTTTTTTTTAGCCCAGAGGAACAAACCTGTGAGAGGTGTAGCCTGGTTGCCATGGTTCAAAGAATACCTCAGACATTTAATGAAGACCTGTGAAGGCAGACTGACATTTAGCGACACGTTTGACGCTCTGAATGGGATGGTAGAGTTGGGTTACCTGAGAGCATTTTCATATGAAACGGAGATCCGTACTGGCATTACGACTTTAAGCCAACCTCTTCAACCAAAAGACTGTGAAAAAATGCTCGGATAAGTGACTGAATCACTGAAGCGAATCATAGCGGTAGGTCATCTCATCACCTCGTTGCACTTTTAGCTGATCAACATCATCACGAACTGGATGGTCATGAAAGCGAATAAGACTACTAAAGTTGTCCTGTGGGCTTGTGTCAAGCATCAGTGAGGTTTTCTCAACCTTATCAATCGAACATGAAATTCCTTCCACACCAAAATATCGTGACCCCTTCATTCTCTTGTAGAGTCGGTTTTGTAGGCCGATTCTGGTAAATTTGGGGGCATTCCGACACCAAACGTTACGGATAATTATTCACTCGATTGGACTTTCGTGCAACACACTTGGGAATCTCACAATCCCGATCAAGACGCGTTTTAAGCACTCAGACTATTTATTGGCGGTAATAACGCAGTGACAACTGAGTTCGAAATACCTATCACAGGCACAGAATCAGGTCAGCAGTATCGGAACGCTGGTGACTAGAGACTGTGGTTGGATTTTAATACCGCAAAGCAAACCATCGTGGTGGCGTAGGGGAGAGAATGATCCGCACGATCGAAAAAACATTTCGTGTGGAGTTAACTATGTCCAACTGGTGAAGTCCTTCACACAAGGGTAGCAGAACGCAAAAGGATCGTGAACGACCGACTGCCAGATACAAAATGATAACCTAGATGATCAGTTCGTAGTAACATTGACAATTTATTGTAGCTCAGAAGTAAACTTAAGGAGAATTGTTGCATCAAATACTGAGGACAAGCGCAACTCCTTACGAATATGTTATGCAAAAGAACACACAAATGTCGAGCAATCTAGTAGATAGTTATTCCTTTGTCCTCCACCATGTTCACCCTTCTCAGGTGTGTGTGAGTTTGTAGATTAAAGTGTTTAGCTTAAGAATTCACCGACCCTTCCTTATCTGTGATCTGGAAATGAGGAGTCACATTTGCCAAAAAACTTCAAGTTCAAAAAACTGCACATACGTTGGCAGAAAGTAACATCTGATTTGAGTATTTCGATATAATGTCAGTCACAGACCCTATTTTTTTACTATAGGGCATCATTACTACACTGCTACATCACAAATTCCTAAAATTACCTACTTTAAAAATGCGCTTTCCTTAATGTGACATTGAGCAATGACATTTAACTGTCAACCTCAGTCGCCTGTTTAAGTTCTTGGCAAAAGTGTCAAGTCAAGCCTGTGTCAAGTGATCAAATCAGATAAAGCTAGTGTAAGCCGAGTACTTCATGATTTGGCCTACTTTTTTGAAGATCCAAAGCGAAGGTAAGTGGAATAATATCTAAAATTATAGTCAGACTACATGACCACAAGAAACAATTGCACACCCCACATTGACAAGGCATCTGCATATAAATATGACAACAGTTTTTATTCACTAAACAAAAATTTGCTCGACAGTCAAATCAAGTACTTTAGAGTTTGCCGCACTCAATTTGATTACAAATTTAAACAAACCAGACACATAAGACCCATCTTCGTCAAGATAGCCGTCAGTGGTAACGACACGGGATATCCATTCGTATTCAATAACAGCTCCGTTGCTATGGTAGCTACGGGCCATGTAGCGTGGATCCTCCATCTTCGTTGTGCTTGCGGGTGACACGAAAAGCCTTCGTTGAAGTGCTAAATTCAATGCACGGGTCCTCAGCGCAGTCATTTTGTCATCAGCAATTTCCTCTTCGGATAGCTCCAACTTATCGGTAGCTGTCGTCATTGCTAAAATAGCTGCCAAGATAAGTACAACACTGGACGTGCGAACAAGCATTATCAAACCGTCGATGAATTACCAACCTACTTATAGGCGCAAACGCCCACAAACTACGTGAAAGGGAGTGTCAGCCAATCAGAGCTTGCTGACGCAAGTGAATGTGTACATCCAATAAACGACTAGGCGGTAACGCAAAGTGGTTAAACTAGCACGAAGCCCACAGTGAATCGTGGTAGCCGGTTGGAACTACGAGCTGTGTAGACATGATAAAACACGACGAAGAACTGCCGTGGCATAGTCTTCACTGTGTTAAGGACCCTTTATTGGACTCTTCAACAAGGGCGTCCCTGAAAACGTTACGTGCAGGATGGACAAAGTCGACATTTGCTAGCCAATAGTTCGGATGAATTAGTAAATGGACACTGGTCTGAATGACGAGATTCTTGGTTCAAGTAGACAAGGCTATACACGCACAAACGGATAGTTGTAAAAGGTGTTTATTCACACCCCCTAATCCGGTCGCTCCGCCTCCGACACAGGGTTCCCCTTTTCGCAGCATGTCGCCAGCCGCGCGTAACCTCAATTCCCCCCTCATTCACACGGATATTTACCTTGGATTATCCTCACACCTGGGTCTCGATGTTAGCGCATGTATGACTCACACAATCGAGCTATAACTACACACGCACAAACCCCACACAACAACACCAACGTGGTTGAGCTCTGAAGTAAACGGTTGTGTCCACGTCCTGTCAGGTCTTTCTTAATCGTGGGTATCAGGGAAGCGTTATCGAGCCAGGGTTAATTCCGTGCCCCCGGCGTGGTTCAAGACCACATGCTGGGGCCCACAACAGGATCAAACTAACCCACATAAACCTTGATGGCGCTAGCCCTGGGGACGGATGTCTACAATGCCCGCACATGGGATACAAGGCAACGCACACTTTGCTCAATTTCTGTATTCACCAAAACTAGGTCCGTTTTTAGGTAGCCCGTACCGACACCTGTCAAAATGGCCAGCCTGGTAGTAGATCTCGTCAAACTGCAACGCGATGTAAACAACTGCAGGATTCAATCTAATATGCCTCCTAGTCTTGCTGAAGCTCACTATTAAACCAACTCAGCGAAGCCATTACTTTACCGTGAATCATAGCAACTATAACTGCTAAGCTTAGTCGAAGTTAAGATATCTGGGATTCTGCTATTGGTTGAAATATCTATTGCCCTACTCCAAAATGATCCATAACTAGCAAAACAAAAAGTCGACTTCTCGTTTTATTCACCAGAAAACGCACACAATAGCCAAATTACAAATTCATTTTCGTTTCAGCATACGGGAGAAGAAGAATAAAGCACATTATTTTTGAACTGTCGTAAATCGGCAATTTCTGAAATTGCAGGAGGCACCTCACACGCACAAACAAGCTCTTCCTCCAGGTTGGTCAAACCAGCAGCACAGGACTTGAGCGCCCTGGAGACATCGACGGTGGAAGAGGACTTGCTCTCGTCGGTGAGCTGCGCCTCCGTAACGGGGACCACGGTTATTGGCCAATCAAACGTTTTCAAGTCGTTTGAGGCAGTCACGTCCACAACGGAGGTGACCGGTGCATTACCTCGAGAGTCAACCTACGAATTCAGGAAATACAAACACCAAAAAAACAACTTGAGCCTATAGGCCGTCTA